CAGTAGCAATGGGCAAACGCACTTACCGTAAAATCAGTATCAGTGGGCAGACGCACTTACCCTAAAATCAGTAGCAATGGGCAAACGCACTTACCGTAAAATCAGTATCAGTGGGCAGACGCACTTACCCTAAAATCAGTAGCAATGGGCAAACGCACTTACCGTAAAATCAGTATCAGTGGGCAGACGCACTTACCCTAAAATCAGTATCAATGGGCAGACGCACTTACCGTAAAATCAGTATCAGTGAGCAGACGCACTTATACCCTAAAATCAGTACCAATGGGCAGACGCACTTACCGTAAAGTTAGTATCAGTGGACAAACGCACTTACCCTAAAATCAGTATCAGTGGACAGACGCGCTTACCCTAAAATCAGTATCAGTGGACAGACGCGCTTACCCTAAAGTCGTTATTGGTGCCGAAGTAGATCGGTACGAATGCCAGCCACACTATACACGTACTGTACATCGCAAAGCCGATGTACTTCGCCTCGTTAAAATTCTCGGGGATCTTGCGCGTCTTGAACGCGTACGTCGTGCACAGTATGATGAGAAACATGTTGTAGACGAGCGAGATGATGAGATCGACGTTGGTGACCCCGCAGCGCAGCACGACCGTCTCCGGATCCGGGTAGGCGTATATCGAGCGCGGTTCCTCGATGATGAGCCACGTCGCCGAGCCGACGAGCTGCACGGAGACGAGTCCGATGCAGATGAGAATCTGCGAGCGCGGCGACGTGTAGCTGGGCCGCTTCTTCGACTTGGTGGCGCGACTGAAGATGCGCGCGATGCGATTCGTCTTTGTGAAGATCGCCGAGTAGCACATGACGAGGCAGGCGCCGAGCCCCATGCGCATGATGGCGCACGACGTCGGCGTCGGCTTAGAGAGGATGACGAACGACATCAGGTAGCAGCAGGCGATGCCGAGCAGCAGCACGTGGCACAGCTCGCGGCCAGACGCCATGATGACGGGCGTGTTGCTGAACTTGACGAAGACGACGACGACGAACAGCGTCGCGACGACGCCGAGCAGCGACACGCACATCGGCACGACGGCCCACGTCGAGTCCCAGGTGACGTACAGCACGGGAAGGTCGCGGCAGCCGTCCTTCGTGCCGTTGGGCACGCGGCCGCGCCCGCACGGCAGGCACGTCGTGTCGTTGGCCGTGTAGTAGTACGGGTCGCACCGGATGCACACCCAGCAGCACTCGCCGACGGCCGTGTAGCGCTTGTAACCCGGCCGGCAGGGGTCGCTGCAGTGCGACACGGGCGTCTCCTGGCTGTGATTGCGCCATCTCATTAGCGGTAGCAGCATGTTCAGCCTAGAAGAGAGAAAGAGAGAGATAGATAGATAGCGAGAGAGAACTCTCTCTCGGTCTGTCTGTCTGTCTCTGTCTCTGTGTGTGTGTGTCTCTCTCTCTCGTCGCAGCGCTGATGTGAGACCATCTCCGTCTATAACATATACGCGCTGCCTTTGCCCAGGTGTGGTGTGAGGGCAGTTATACGTGTGTCTCCCGGCCCCACGGCGTCCACCATCTTTTTAAGTTAACACGATCATCTGATCAATGACGGATGCGTTAGGAGACGCAGTAATTCAGGCGGTGCGGGTTTTACATCGTGACGCAGTACGACGTTGTGACGCCGTTGGCATAGTACACCGCTGTGACGCAGTACTTAGCAGTGACAGCGTATAACGTCGTGATGCAGTATTTCCGTCATGACGCAGTACTACGGCGTGACGCAGAGTTAACGTCATGACGCAGAACGACGTAATAAGTAGTTCAGCACCACTGCGTCGTGACGCAGGGCAACGCCGCGACGCAGTATTTACAGTATTTCGTCGTCGTCGATGTCGTCGTCGTCGTAATCTTCGACGCTCGGCGTCTGCTGAAAGTGCGCGTCGTGGAATCGCACCGTCGTCGTCGTCGTCGCGCCGTACGCCGTCGCCGCCGCAAGGTCGGCTGCCGTCGACGACAGCGAGTGCGTGTCCGCCGCAGCGTCGACTTCCCGGTGCGGCACTAGCGACGTCGATGACGGCATGTCGGCGATGACGCTCTGAGGGTCGGCCCTGTTCGGCGACGCGGAGGCGGAGGCGACGACGACGGGAGTTGGCACAGCGGGAAAGTCCCGGTCCCGCGGGATGAGGGGCCCGAGCGACGTGATCTTGAATGTTCCGAGTGAGAGACCTCCCTCGTGGCTCGACCCGTGCGACCTAGCCTGCCGACCCATGGTCGCTGCAACACACCATGCAGATAGAATGATGACAGTGTAACGTTAGCTCACGGAAGTACAGCCTCTTTCTGGAAAGAGAGAAAGAGAGAGAGAGAGAAGACCTCTCTCTTTCTCTCTCTCTATCTCGCTCTCTCTCTCTCTCTCTCGCTCTCTCTGTCTCTCTCTCTCTGTTGGGAAACCCGAAAAGGGGTTTTGAAATTTCAAAACCCCTTTTCGGGTTCCAACATTTGGTAGTACGAATTTGGCATGGTGGTAAGAATTTCGCATA